ACACAAGTGGATTTCTTTCCCAGGCAAAAAAGTAAACAATGACCAAAATAGTTAATTTGGCATCTGCAGCAGACCAGAGCTACTCAACAGTTAGTACTGAGTAGTGTACTGTGCCAGGCCAATCACAGTAGTGTAAAAAAGATGCATCAAGCAAACAAAAACTTGCCATTTCCAAACCCACCACTGGTTATCCTAGGTAATTTACACTATAGTATATAATAATTGTACTTTGTGTACCTGTGCCTATATAAACCTACAAAGGTTAATTAAGTAACATGAGGTTATTAACCCTTTGACTGTTTCGGTTGTATATATACATCTTATGCGCCACTGTTTCGGACATACAGTGGACCCCCGACATTCGATATTAATCCGTTCCTGAGAGCCATCGAATGTTGAAAATATCGAAAGTCGAATTAATTTCCCCCCATAAGAAATAATGGAAATCAAATTAATCTGTGCAAGACACCCAAAAGTACGAAAAAAAAATTTTTACCACATGAAATATTAAGTTTAATGCAATAGAATAATTACAATAACAATAGATTAATAACAACAGAATAATTGACACTTACCTTTAATGAAGATCTGGTGATGATTGATGGGATGGGAGGAGGGGAGTGTGTGGATGGTGTTAGTGTTTAGAAGGGGAATCCCCTTCCATTAGGACTTGAACTGGCAGCCTCACCATGCCTTACCACACTGTGTATGCCACTACGATTCTTAAATCTTTCAAACCAACCTTTGCTGGCCTTAAATTCACTCACATCACCACTAATTGCAGGCAATTTCTTTACCAAATCATGCACTCTGACACACGCACTCCACTTTCATACTTTGCAATTATCTCTTTCCTCATTTCAATAGTCATTAGCACCTTTTTTCTCGAAGGGTTGGCACTAAAAGCTTTCTTGGGGCCCATGGTTACTTATTTTGCAGAAACAAGCACCAAAAACAGTGATAATATGGATAATATGGAATGTACCGAATGTATCCTTAGATGTGCGCACAGTGGCTGGCTTGTAAACACTGGCACACACGGGGCAGTTCAGGCCACACGTGGACACGTCTCATACGAATCGTATAGAATGTCGGGTTTTCCATCGAATGTCGAGGCAATATTTTTGCGTTAAAATGAATTGAATGTCGGATTTATCGAATGTCGATGCCATTGAATGTTGGGCGTCCACTGTATTTATGCGCGTAAATTCTAGCAACTTCAAATCAAGCAGGAGAAAGCTGGTAGGCCTACACAAGAGAGAATGGGTCTGAGTGGTGGGTGTGCACCCTGTGAAAAAAAATCTGGGACTCAGTGGTGCATTGTGGGAACGCCATCTTGGTAGTCCATTTTCACTATGCCTCACGGTAAGAAGTGCCTCACTCCTCAGCGGATTGGAGGTCTTTTGTTCCCAAGTGATAGCTCTAACAGCGATAGAAGGGTCAGTGAAAGTGAATTCCATGGTTTTCAAGTGGGTGTGACCGAAAACAGTGCCCAGGATAATGTAATTAGTGATGAAAACCCAGATGACCCACGACCTTCCACCTCTGGTGCTGGGGCCGGCTCGTTCACGTTCACCTGTACCAGGACGAAAGAGGAAACTATTTGCCAGTGTACAAGACTCAGATGTGAGCAGTGAAAGTGATAGTGATTTCAAAGCTATTGAAAGCAGTTCTAGTTGTGACAGTGACGGTGAATATTCCCCAGTGAAGCGGCAGTATATACGACGTAGCATGCGGTCTGGTAGTGTGTCATATGCTGTTCCAAGGGGAAGGAGTAAATCTCGGAGCACATCCCGTGGCCCTACACCACGACCTAATAGTGAAGATGACGATATTGTTACGATGGGTATGAATGATGCAAGTGAGGCAGCAGGTGGTGGTGATAGTGATGGTGGCACGAGTCATGTGGCACCAGCAGCGGGCCACGCTACTACCGACGCTGCTGACTCTGCACAACTACAACCAGCCTCACCCAACCCCACACTCCCACAACCTGCACAACCACAACCACATTTCAATATCCAGAACCCACCAGCAGACCACATCTGGGATTGGCAGCAAGGTGACGAGTTTGTTCCCAGTCCCCATGACTTTGATGAAACACAAAGTGGAATACGGCCATCGTGTACACTTGGGAACAATGCTACTGAACTGGAATGCTTTCAGTTATTCTTCGATGAACCCCTGACGGACATTATTGTCAGGGAAACCAACACATACTATGAGTACACCATGGCAAGTACAATTCTCTCACCAAGATCACGGCTACACCAGTGGAAGGACAACTGTGGCAGAGATGTACCTGTTTTTTGCCACAATGTGTATAAGCACACTGTCACCACATACTGGGCAACAGAATGCCTGATTTCAACCCCAGGTTTTAGTGACATTATAGGTGTGAATTGTTTTTTGATACTGTTACATATGTTACACTTTTCAGACAAAACAAGGTCTGACAGAAGCGACAGGTTATACACGATCAGAAATGTGTTTATGTACCTGAAACAAAAGTGTTGCATGTATTTTTATCCCTTCAGGAAGTGTTGCATGTATTTTTATCCCTTCAGGAAGCTTGTTACTGACGAGTCTGATTTTATTCAAAGGAAGACTCTCACGTCAAGCAATACATACCAAGTAAGAGGAAATGCTTTGGTATAAAGTTATTTGTACTGTGTGATTGCAAAAGTGGTCTCATTTTGGATATCATTGTGTACACTAGCAGTAATACATTGAGAGATACCAGGAAGTTATTGGGTATCTCTGGTGATGTGGTTCGAATAATGATGGAACCATATCTTGGTAAGGGGCATACATTATATACTGATAACTGGTACACAAGCCAAATACTCAGTGATTTCTTGCGAGTGAACATGACAGACATGTGTGGCACAGTGCGTGGTAATCGTAAGCATATGCCAAGGCTTGATGCTGGCACTCGCAGAGGTGAGGTGCAGGCCTTAGCTGCCAATGACATCAAGGCATTTCGGTGGCATGACAAACGTGATGTCACATTGTTGACATCAGTACACCGAAACAAAATGGCACACACTGGCAGGCACAATAGAGAGACCAACGAACCCATTCTAAAACCTGCAGCTGTCATGGACTACAACCTCAATATTGCGCTTAGTGGACAAATGTGATATGCAGATTGGGTTTGCTGATTGTGTACGCAAGAGTTATAAGTGGTATATAACATATACAAGTTGAGGACCAACAACAAACCAAAATATGGCGAATTTTGTTTGTCAGTCATCAGACAAATAATCGCCAAGTACCAAGGAGCAACACCTGCAATAGACCAGCGCCCATGAAATTACCAACACATGCCATCTTGTTTGAGGCCTGGTGATCACTACCCCATACAACTGCCTCCTACTGCTTTCAAGAAAAGTGCTTAGAAGAGGCGTTTTGTATGTGGACATACCACAAAACACCCACAAACAAGTAGAGACACTCGTTGTGTGTGTGAGGAGTGTCAAGTGCCACTCTGCATATACCCATGTTTCAAAGAGTTCCACAAGCTGCAGTAGTTCTAGGAAAGTGTTCAGTGACTGTACATATGTATATATATTATGGAACAATAGTAATTAACAATGTTTTGTATTGTTTGTCTGTGTAAACAAGTTTTATACACAATCTAATAGTGATAATGTTTGTTCAGTTATTGTGTTGTAAACAATGAGTGTATATTTGAACAATGCACCTTACTTTGGTCTCACAGGTCACATAAGTTACTTAGAAAAGAAAAATGTTGGAAAATACAAGAAACCTTCGAATTGGAGTAAATAAAAGAATACCGGGTGGGTGGCATTTGCCGCTGTTGCCATACGCCACTCATTTTCTGCCAACTTTGCACCTCTATATCTCGGTAAATACTGATGGCAAAAAAATTTTTTTAGACTTAAAACACTCAGTAAAATAATCCTAACATTTTAGTAAGAAACAACAATTTTTTTTTTTGAATATTTTGAGACATAGAATGACAGTTTCAGAAAGGGGCCTGTGACAGTCAAAGGGTTAAAGGGTGGGTTCCACTGGGTTTCATTAGTTTGGTTATTTTTTTTACAACTTTCACATACTATATCAACATATTAAATATTTTAAGGAATAAATTATCAAGCAACTTAGACCAGGACCTCAAGTCAATATGACTGGATTTTTTTTTTTTTTTTACATTTTTAACCCTAACAGCAACAAATCACACTTATTTTCATGGGTTATCCTAGGTTAAATTTGAAATAATTTATTATATGAAACCATTGTGAGTTTCAAATTATGCATGATGCCTAAATACAAACTTAAGTATATATCAAGTGCACTTTAAACACTATTTTTAATTCCAGAAATAAATTATACATTTCATAGGCAATATTATTATAACCATAACTAAGCACTAAACCCATAAGGGTCATATAGCCCATAGGCAATTAATAATTTCATAGCAATGAAGTATATATTGTTGCAGGCTGATTAATGGTTTGAATTGGTTTTACAGTTAAATATGTTTAGGTACAATTACACAAGTTTTGGGTGATTACAATTGTCTTGTATAATAAAAGTGTACATTACCCTTGGCCGGGCTGCCAAAGTTCTCGATTCACACACACAGGGCACAGGTTCGATTCCCAGCAAGGTGGAAACATTCGATGCATTTCCTTACACCTGTTGACCTGTTCACCTAGCAGCAAGTAGGTACCTGGGTGTTAGTTGACTGGTGTGGGTCGCATCCTGGGGGACAAGATTGAGGAACCCAATGGAAATAAGACGGACAGAGTCCTCGATGACACACTGCCTTTCTTGAGTTATCCTGGGTGGCTAACCCTCCGGGGTTAAAAATTCGAACGAAATCTTATCTTACTTAAAATAACCCCATGATTTATTTCTATTGTGCAACAATGTGAGTTGCACCGAGCAGTAGTATAACATAATAATATATAAATAATATATATAATATTGCGAGTTAACAGCAGCCGTCATTCCGTATATTAAATAATTACCTAGGACTAGAAGAGTGCGATATACTTCCTGGAGGTTTCTTGGGTAATGGAGGGTTTGTTTTCTTGGCTTTACTGCCATCAGCAGCTTGCTGGGCTTCCTTCATCTTCCTCTCTATCTCACGCTTCCTCTTCAGCAAGATCTCTTCCTGTTTAGACATCTCTCTCATCCTGACTTGAACTGGGTACTTGTTGGACATTGTGCTGAGCCAGAGGAAGCAATAGTTGCTGTTATGTACACAAACAACAGTGAAGAGAAAACATGCGGGTGTGGGAGGCAGTAATGGCAGCCAGGACGTGTGAGAGGCAGATAGTAAAGGCAGCCAGGACGTGTCTGACTCTGGCTCACACTGCCATCTATTGACTGTGTTCACGTTAACCCGCATGACGGATAAACCTCGGGGGATATAAGACATTTATTGACTTGAAATACTTGCTTAATTATTTACTTTACACCTATTGCCCCTGTTCACCTAGCAGTAAATACCTAGCACTGACTAGTGAGGGTCGCATCCTGGGGAGAGAACAAAGATCACTTACTACTCTCAGGTGACTTCAATATAAATCTCCTGCAAGACCAGGACCCACACGTTACTGAATTCACAAACACATTATTATTATTACAATCAAGGGGGAAGCGCTAAACCCGGAGGATTATACAGCGCCTGGGGGGGGATGTGGAAGGCATTCAGGCTTAATTTGGGGAACTGGAGCGCAGATCCAATTCCCTAAATCAAGAGCCCCTCATCAACATCAAGGAACCTTCCTTGAGGGGATTCACAAACACAATGAGTAACTGTATGTTACTACCAACAGTAACAAAACCTATAAGAGTTACAGAGACTAGTGTTTCCCTACTTGACCACATCTGGACCAACACCATATTCCCTTTAAAATCAGGCATAATCACAGATAATACCACAGACCACTACCCTACTTTCCTCATAACAACTCTTGGTAAACTACCCCAAGACACTACTAAAGTCACCTTCAGACTTCACAATGAGGCAGCCATTAATAACTTCACAACAGCAGTAGCAAACATTGATTGGCACACTTAGCTAGAAATCTATACAGATATTGACGAATGTATTAATAATTTTCTAAAAAAGACCCAATACCTCTAAAACAAGCACTGCCCTAAAAAAACTAAACAGATGACAGCTAAGAGACTGAATAGTCCCTGGCTAACACCCAGCATTCTCAAATCCATAAATACAAAACACCAATATGAAAAACAGTACAGAATGGGTCACATAACCAGAGACCAAACAAAACGTTACTCGTCAATCCTAACCAGCCTGATAAGAAGGGCAAAAAATTGTATTATGAGAACAGATTATCCAACTTACGAGGTGATATAAAAAAGACCTGGAAAACCCTATCAGAATTCTGGGAACAAAAAAGATATCACGAAATAGCGAAATAAAATTAGCAAAATCAGATGAACCCCAACTCCCACCAACAGAAACAGCAAACAGACTCAATGATTTCTTCTCCACTATAGGACAAAACCTTGCCAATAAAATCCCAAGCTCAGATACCCCACCAAATGACTACCTCACCGGCAACTACCCGAACACACTGTTCCTAGCTCCGACTAACCCATACGAAGTCTCCCTTATTATCAACGCACTAAAAAACAAGGCAGGAGATTTAAATACCTTACCACCCTTTATATACAAAAAACTGTCACAAGTGCTATCACCAATCATTGCAACACTCTTTAACAAATCCATAGAATCCTCCACCTTCCCTACAGTATTCAAAATAGCAAGGGTCACCCCGATCCACAAAGGAGGAGACCAAACAGAGTTGAATAACTGTAGGCCAATATCCAACTTACACCCTCTCTCAAAAATCTTCGAAAAATTAATTCATAAACGAATCTACTCCTACCTTATCTCCCAAAACATACTCAACCCCTGCCATTTTGGATTCAGGCCTAATAAAAATACTAATGATGCTATTATACACATGCTAGAACATATATACACTGCAATAGAGAAAAAAGAAGTCCCACTGGGGATCTTCATTGACTTACGTAAAGCTTTTGATACAGTTGACCATGACTTGCTCCACGTAAAATTGTCACACTATGGTATAAGAGGGCACTCCCTCAACTACCTCAAGTCATACCTCAGCAACAGAAGCCAATATGTGTACGCAAATGGGGCAAACTCTTCTGCGCAACCAATTACAGTTGGTGTCCCACAGGGAAGTGTCCTTGGCCCTCTTCTCTTTCTCCTATACATAAATGACCTTCCAAATGCTTCGCAATTACTCAAACCCACACTATTTGCAGATGACACTACATACGTCTTCTCTCTCCCGAGCCCAGTCACGCTAGCCAATACTGTAAATACCGAATTACAGAAAATATCTACCTGGATGAGGACTAACAAACTTACACTAAACATTGACAAAACCTACTTCATTCAGTTTGGTAACAGAGCTACAGATGTCCCTCTTAAACATAATGATAAACGGATCACCTATCACAAAGCTAACAGAGGGAAAATTCTTAGGAATCCACCTTGATAATAGACTCAAATTTCATACACATATACAACAAATTTCTAAGAAAATTTCCAAGACTGTAGGCATACTATCGAAGATACGGTACTATGTTCCACAGTCAGCCCTCCTGGCCCTATAATCACTCTCTTATTTATCCCCTATCTCACCTATGGAATTTGTGCATGGGGCTCAACAACAATTAACCATCTCAGACCACTAATTACCCAACAAAAGGCTGCAGTTAGAATGATAACAAATTCTCACTACAGGCAGCACACTCCACCAATATTCAATACACTAAACACTACTCACCATACAAAACATCCATACTTATTACTGCACCTATTACATACATAGAACACTTAACTCTGATATTAACCCTCCCCTCAAACATCTCCTTGCCAACCTCAACAGAACACATGACCATAACACAAGGCACAGATCACTCTTTGATGTTCCTCGTGTCCATCTCACACTATGCAAAAACTCAATGCACATAAAAGGCCCTAAAATCTGGAATTCATTACCTGTAAATATAAAAGAAACACTACCTGTTTATAAATTCAAGTCTCTTCTCAAAGAATCACTTACTCACCCAAAACCAAATAAATACTGAATAACTGAACCTTATAAATTGTATATCTTAAATGTTTCTCACAATTATATCACATAAATGTTAAACCTAAAACCCAATCTAACTTTATTATTTTTTAAATACACTACCTAACAGAATACTCCATACGACTGAATGTACAACAATACATGCAACCATATGACCTGTCTTTGTAATACTCATTTGTGCTTTATAGTTATCTGTTTACAATAATGTATTATCACTGATTTCATCATTGCTTAGTTAATTTTAAGCCAGCCCGAAATGCTATGCATAGTATAAGTGGCTTTGGCATGCTGCTCTTATCTGTATTTTTTTGTACCTCTGTATGTATGCTCAAATTGTAAATAAATAAATAAATAAATAAAGAACCCAATGCAAATAAGCCAGCCTGATGGCTGGCTTATTTGCAACCGGTTCAATTCAATTCAATTCAAAGTTTATTCTCTATAAGGATTACAATGCTGAGTTTACAGAATTTGGTTGTTGTGTGGTTTACATGTAGTAAAATAATAATTACAGTGTACCACTAGAACACCTAGCATGGCTAGGCATTTCGGGCAGACTTAAATTAAATCTTCAGTTTAAAATATTACAAAATTATGAAGTAAGTTGGTATTATGGCTAAGTGACTAAATACTAGTTGTGAGTTTAGCAATGTGAATGCTTTTGTTTTGGCACTATACATAGTTTCAGTATTGGAGTATCACAGGCCAACTTATGACTAGTTAAGATTCATTATTTTGAGATTGAGACTGATATTTCTGTTTATGGTCAAATGGGTGAGTGAGTGTAAGTGTGAACCACCAGGTGGTATTCGTGTAATTTTTTTTTTATATTTTATTTATAACATACAATACATTAACAAAAGCATACAATATGAGAGCATCGACAGACAATATAAAATTCATCAATTTCTATACACTGCAATATGCAGTAATATGTCATGCAGCTGATAGGTGAATACTGCCATATACATAATTCATAACTAAAACCGGAATCCTCGCCCAGCTGCCGGTGAGGGTGGACGTTTTGCTACTCCTCTCTGACAGGCGCAAGTGCTAGCCAGGCTGTCACAATGGTGGTTGGGGTGAGACGCAGAATTAACACTGTCGGCAAGAATTTAGGGGAGGTAAAATTTCAATAAAGTTGGGGCGTTGACGTTTTGCCTCTGATTATTCGAGGAATTTGGGTTTTGAGGATTGCGCCCCTTTTACGGTTCCCTTAAAGGGAAAAAAACTACCGAAGTTCGTGAAATGCTGTCATAAAACGTGTATGGGATCACTTGTAAATATCGGATTTTTGCTATCGAGGTTAAGAGGGCATCCGGGTAAAGTGGTCGATTTTTTCGAGTCTTTTACGTATGTAAAGTTATTTAATGTGCCTTTCGGGCAAATGAAGCTGTCTACTTTTGGTTTTCGGGAAGTTTGGAACTGACACGTACCCAAACCCAAGGCAAGTGGACGGCGGGGGGGTTTAGTGGGTTATCCGGAAGGTTATTTTAAACCCTAAAGATGCCCTCTAGGCAACCTATCCCTTGTATGTTTTCTTAATGAATTTGGACCAAAAATACTCGTAACTTACGTGGCCAACGTAGAACTTGGACTGTGTGAGGGTTTGATCACTAGCGGCTGAAGTGTGCGGCGGAGGAGGGGCCAGGGAATCCCAAAAAAAGTGACATTCCGAGGCGAGGACCTACAGTGACAGATCAGAACCGCCAGGGGGGACGTAGGCGGGGTGGGGTTGTGGAGTGAGGAAGTGGGGGGGAAATGAACTGAGGTGGAGCAGGGGGTGCAGTGCCAGCAAATTGAGTGCGCCCTGTGGGATGTGACCCACGAGGCGGAAAAGGATACCCAAATGACGAGAAATTGACGTGTGTTTGGGGAACATTTTTTGCAGGAGATGTTCCCTAAATCGGAGGAAACTTGACAGGGGGTAACGACGGGAGACCAGGTACGGGGAAAAGGGGGAAGCGCGGGTTGAAAAAAAGGAATGTAATGTGGGGTTTGGGCCCAAGTAGTGAGAAGGGGAATGGGGTGAAGAGGTGGGGGGGCACAATGAAAAGGGGCAAGGAGACTAGCATGGCGGAAGGGGGAAAGTGTCGGGGAGGGGCCCCAGCTGTACGTCTGACTCGGATGACGTCCTCATCCAGAAAAAAGCCGGGGGAAAAAGGCGGGGATTGAAGGTGTGTGAGAGGCACAGAAAAAAAAGAAACGCCAGCAGGGGTTAGGAGGGGAGGGGATGGGGTGAGTGTCAAGGACGGTGTGT